TTTGACAATACACTGTATTGTTAGCGAGCTTTCAACAATACACTGTGTATTGTCAAGAGTAGATAAATAACATGTTATTTATCTACTCTTGGTATTGTTGAACACCTTCTAATAATACACTGTGTATTGTAGTAGGTACCTATGAGCTTTCAACAATACACTGTGTATTGTTGAACACCTTCTAACAATACACTGTGTATTGTAGTAGGTACCTATGAGCTTTCAACAATACACTGTTTATTGTTGAACACCTTCTAACAATACACTTTTATTTATTTTTATTTTTTATTAGTTTACTTTTTGATTTGTAAACTTAAAATTGACATTTATTTAAATTAATTAATTAAAATTATTTTATTGATTTTATTGAATTTATTGAAAATGAAATTGAATTTAAATACACAGTTGTTAGGTACCTACTACAATACACAGTGTATTGTTAGAAGGTGTTCAACAATAAACAGTGTATTGTAGAAAGCTTATAGGTACCTACTACAATACACAGTGTATTGTTAGAAGGTGTTCAACAATACACACTGTATTGTTGAAAGTGTATTGTTAGTTACCAGGATTATCTGATATATATATATATATATACACAAGAGCTAATAATACCTTATATTATTAGCTATTGATTACCTATCAAGCTGTTGATTACCTATCAAGCTCTTGATTATTAGCTATTAATACCTTGTATTATTAGCTCTTGATATATATATAGAGAGAGAGACATATAGATATTAAACGTTACATACGTCACGTATGTCACGTCATTAATCCGATTGAACAGTGATGAAAATAAAATAAGCGACGTAGTTAAATCGATTTCTTTTTCAAATTAGCATCACTGATTTTGTCAGCTAAAATATTCAGGTTCAATCGTGAGCCCAATATCAATCATTATGTTGTAGAAATGTCAAATGCGCTCTTATTTCTGTGGTATTAAATCAAGATAACATGTTTCGTCATATTTTGTTGAAATTCGTTTATCGAATATGCACGCGCATGGTCAGATCAATCTCTAGTCAAAAAGTAGTAGGATGACAGAACATGGTGATCACTAAATCTGCTAGCTCGACCCGCAGAGGTCTTGTAACCCAATTACCATTTAATGGTAATTAGGTTATTTGTCGTTTCGGTGCTATCGTTTCATGTTGGCAAGTAATCGGTTCGGGCCTATGAAGAAGAAGAAGAAGAAGAAGAAGAAGAAGAAGAAGAAGAAGAAGATGGTGATGATGATGATGACGATGATGATGATGATGAGGATGATAATGATGATGAGGAGGATGATAATGATGATGAGGATGATGATAAGGATGATGATGAGGATGATGATGAGGATGATGATGAACGCACATATTTTTTAACTGCATTGAAGACTGAGTGTCCCACCTATACAATCACAGAAAATGGTACATACTAGGCAATTACACATATACGTTTAAAACAACGTTTAATGAAATACTAATGTAATATTTGGTATGAAAAGTTTGCGATTATCAAGAGGAAATTTCTCTGGATTTATTAGCCATATTTGTCGTACATGCTGTGCATGTGTGGACGGTATGATGTCTCATGTGTGCTGTTATGCCTAGCACCAGATATTATTGTGGTGATAGCCGCGATTTTATACTACAATTTAAGCGTCGGAATACTGTATTTACTGCCTATAGTGAGCGTTCGGAATGCACGCATGCTTGTGAGTAGGGCGAGTTCCAATGTATTGCGCACATGCACACCACACATTCTCGGTTAGCTCGCAGCGCCATCTAGTGCCTCGGAGATTTAATATCGTCGGCCCCCGTAATTTTGGTGTCAGGGTCAGTTACGCGGACATTCACCCCGTAACAATGTCACTATTACAAGGTATGGGACGTTCCGTTGCTGGCCCAGGTGGTCGCTGTGCGAACTCATATATTATTTATGGTATATAAAGTGCGCGTGCGCGTGTTCGTAAAACCGTGTGATAAATAATCTGCATCGAATGTCGTATTAAGTTTTTTATTTCCTCTCTATACAGTCGGTATGAACAGCAATAGAGCAGTGGCTGATTTCCGCAATTTTTTTAAGTAGGAGTAAGGGTTCTGCGCACCGCATACCTTTTATTCTTGTCGTTGCCTTTACGCACGGTCCAGCGCAGTCTCGTTTTATCATGCCCTCGTCCCACGTCTCCAGATCGGGTGGTTCGTCACACTTGAGATGGTTCACTAACAACAAATGCTCTGCGAAAGATCACAAAAGAGATATATCAATGTCGGTAGCTATGCCCACGGCGCGAAACTTCGTGGATCGGACGTACAAGCGGTTTCACTAAGCACGCGGTTTATACGCGTTATGTGTGATGACGAAGCGCGGCGCCCTCTATCGGAGAAAGTATTATACCGAAGTGCAAGTGCAAGCTCGAAAATTACTAGGCTAAGCAGCTACCGTGTTCCTTCACAGCGCTTTCATTCAATGTTTAAGGATCTTTATAATCATAAATCATTTTATAATTTTTAATAAACCAACATTGTCATAGACAACCTGTGTCGGTAACCTATAAGACTATAAATTATAGTAAGGTTTAGGTGGAGCCTTCCGGGCTATATTAAATGCTGCTTTCAATGCATCATTTGTTGCCGCCAGTAGAAAATAAGCCCACATCTTTAAATATTTCGAAATTCGAAATTTGATATTCGAAATCTAACGAGCCTCCGTGACTGGTCGGATTATGTGTAACGTTTCACTCTTCAAATGCTCATTGCGAATACAAATTTTAGTCGTTATTGTAATGCTCGAAATTTTGAGATTCCAAAATTTGAATCGCGAAACTCGAATCTAGAAAAAAGAAACTGAAATTCATAATCAAAGTGAAAATAAAATCTCAAAAATTCGCGATTTAAATTTTCTAAAAAAACAAATAGATTTTTTCGCGAATTAACGAACGCGCCTTCCGGTTCGTTTGTCGACGCTCACCGCTGTTGACGATGGCGCTGAACCACTTGTTCTGGTCGTCGTGCTCGTAGTAGGTCGAGCGCCACGAGCTCCACTGCGTGCCGTCGTACTTGTCGCGCTGTCCGGTCGGTGCCGCGCCCGCCACCTGCGGCTGCCTGTCACCGCGCTGGCCCGTCTGCCGCTCGCGCGACTTGTCGTACTTGTCGTACGCCTCGTCGGCGACGCCGATGCGATTGTCGTAGCCGACCTGGCCGCCGCTGCTGCTGCCGTAGGCGTACGGATCGTAGTTGCGCCCGTACGGGTTACCGTACGAGCATTCGAAGCACTTCTGCACGTTGATGCTTGCCACTGAAACAGAAGGGAGAATGGAATTGACGCGGCTCGTCTCATCGCGTGGATTATTCGGAAGCTGTTTGGCGCAGTGGATATACGTCATCGCCATCTTTATAGCACGTCGAGTGATCAGCGCGTTGAATCCACGCGGGGTAGTGGCAGTGGAGCTGCGTCAGGTAGAGACGGACCACGCCTCCGCTTCATATATGTGCATGGCAGTAGTTTGGTTTATGCAAGTATATCCCTCCCAACGACATCGCTCGGCCCACACTATCGCTAATACACCAGGCACACGCCTAGCTATCTCATATTTTACAGAGTTTATGCATGTCGAATACGCAGAAATACACACACACACACACACACACACACACACACACACACGCACGCACGCACGCACGCACGCACGCACACACACACACATACATATATAGTATATATATAGATATATAGTATAATATAAAGTATAGAATATTATATATATATATATATATATTATATTCAGATAATCCCGGTAACTAACAATACACAGTGCATTTGACAATACACTGTATTGTTAGCGAGCTTTCAACAATACACTGTGTATTGTTGAACACCTTCTAACAATACACTGTGTATTGGAGTAGGTACTCTATGAGCTCTTCAACAATACACTGTTTATTGTTGAACACCTTCTAACAATACACTTTTATTATTTTATTTTTTATTAGTTTACTTTTTGATTTGTAAACTTAAAATGACATTTAATTTAAAATTTAATTATTAAAATTATTTTATTGATTTTATTGAATTTATTGAAAATGAAATTGAATTTAAATACACAGTTGTTAGTACCTACTACAATACACAGTGTATTTTAGAATGGTGTCAACAATACACACTGTATTGTTGAAAGTGTATGTGTAGTTATCCAGGATTATTCTGATATATATATAATATATACACAAGAGCTAATAATACTTATATTATTAGCTATTGATTAACTCTATCAGCTGTTGAATTACCTATCAAGCTCTTGATTATTAGCTATTAAATACCTTGTATTAATTAGCGTCTTGATATATATATAGAGAGAGAGAATCATATAGATATTTAAAGCGTACATACGTCACGTATGTTCGACGTCATTAATCGCGATTGAACAGTGATGAAAATAAAATAAGCGACGTAGTTAAATCGATTTTCTTTTCAATTAGCATCACTGATTTGTCAGCTAAAATATTCAGGTTCAATCGTGAGCCCAATATCAATTCATGTAGTTGTACAAATGTGTCAAATGCGCCTTATTTCTGTGGTATAAATCAAGATAAACTATTTCGTCATATTTTGTTGAAATTCGTTTATCGAATATGCACGCGCATGGTCAGATCAATCTCTAGTCAAAAAGTAGTAGGATGACAGAACATGGTGATCACTAAATCTGCTAGCTCGACCCGCAGAGGTCTTGTAACCCAATTACCATTTAAATGGTAAGTTAGGTTATTTGTCGTTTCGGTGCTATCGTTTCACTGTTGGCAAGTAATCGGTTGCGGCGCCTATGAGAGAAGAAGAGAAGAAGAAGAAAGATAGAAGAGAAGAAGAAGAGAAGATGGTGATGATGATGATGACTGATGATGATGATGAGAGGGATGATAATGATGATGAGGAGGAGATAATGATGATGGATGATGATAAGGATATGATGCAGGACTGATGATGAGGATGATGATGAAGCACATATTTTTTAACTGCATTGAAGACTGAGTGTCCCACCTATACAATCACAGAAAATGTACATACTAGGCAATTACCACATATACGTTTAAAACACCACGTTTAATGAAATACTAATGTAATATTTTGGTATGAAAAGTTTGCGTTATCAAGAGAAATTTCTCTGGATTTATAGCCATATTTTGTTCGTACATGCTGTGCATGTGGGACGGTACTGATGTCTCATGTGCTGCTGTTATGCCTAGCACGCAGATATTATTGTGGTTGATAGCCGCTGATTTTACTACAATTTAAGCGTCGGAATACTCGTATTTACTGCCTATAGTGAGCGTTCGAATGCACGCATGCTTGTGAGATAGGGCGAGTTCCAATGTATTTGCGCACATGCCACACCACACATTCTCGTTAGCTCGCAGCGCCATCTAGTGCCTCGGAGATTTAATATCGTCGGCCCCCGTTAATTTTGGTGTCAGGGTCCAGATTACGCGGACATTCACCCGTAACAATGTCACTATTACAAGGTATGGGACGTTCCGTTTGCTGGCCCAGGTGCTCGCTGTGCGAACGATTCGTCTTATATATTATTTAATGGTATATAATAATATATTATATAATATATATATTAATAATTATATATATGTAGTGTATGTGTGTGTGTGCGTGCGTGCGTGCGTGCGTGCGTGTGTTTGTGTTTGTGTGCGCCACGCCGGTGGGAATATGCATACATACACTCAAATTAGCGATGTCGGCGTTCCCTGCCGGTTTCCCATACGTACTTTTCGGCATTGAGGCGGTATGAGGGTGCATGGGCGATGTCACTGGTGCGTGCATGCTCGCTGTCATACAGGATTGACGACACGAACGTACAGTCATTTATGAACATGGCTTTGCCAGGAAGGTATAGAAATATATCGGCCATGAGCTATAATTACTTTAGCATGAGCACGTATGACTAGTTATAGCGTAAAACGACGCATGGCACCATCTTGGAGAACGTGTTTTTCTCACTGCTATATATTTCTACCTTCGCTGTACGGGGCCTTGCCAGAAGCAAAATAAATGGTCTAAAAATCTCACAGCTTTCGTACGACACTCCGCCTCATACGTTATGGCATTTTACACTATAATATGATACTATAATAACTATTCACGATGCTTCTGACTGCGTCGCCCCGCCGTGCAACAGAACTATACCTATACTAACCACACGTGCTTATATTTAGCGACAGGTTTTCCACAGTAAACTGCCCACAAAGGCTCCTATCGTCGTGTATACACATATATGGTCTATTTCCGTCACACGAGCACGCAACAAAGCCGAATGGTCGTCAGTGCAAGTGCGACCGGCTAGGCGATAAACTGAGATTACTCACGGAAACTAAAAATATACTTGGTCCTCGCAACGAAGGAGCTCGTAGTTTTGCCGTAAGAAGGAACATGCATATATCGTAATATCGCATGTGTACAGACGTTCGTGGATAAGCACGGCCCGTTGTGGACCGAATGGCCAATAAATTCTTCACTAAAGGCTGGGGACATAATTATCACTAAGTCTGATTTTCGATGATGGCCAGGGATATGATAGCTGGCGATAAGATAGCCAACTCTGATTGCATGAGCGCTTCCAACATTTGATGGACACGTAAAATACACCGGTAATGTAATGCCAGTGGTAGATCGTGGTTATTATATAGTCACTGATGAAGTTGGGTTCATAATGATGATATAGAAGATCGACGAAGATATGACGTCACCAATGATGCTGTTAATGCTGGCTAATGCACACAGCGATACACTGTAGAACGTGATCAGTTAGAGCCAGATGCTTGATGCCATCTTTGTTATTCGAAGACAAAAACCACGATGTTAGTGATATCTAAGTTACACATGCAACATACGACCAAATCATCACTATAACTCCCAACGGTACGACATTTGAGTGAACTATGGATTTACGAAGTCAGGCTCGTGTTTAGTAAACAGTCTGTGTTTAGGTACGACGAAAATTATTTGCAAATACGAAGGAATATTCGAGAACACAAACACAATTGCAAATCGGTCCGATCGCCAACGCCTTTCCGTGCTCGAATTGGCAAGTCACTGTGTTTACATGCCAATACTACAGGCTTACCTTCGGCAAACAGTGTTCCCAGCGCCGCCGTCAGGAAGATTGCCTGCATTGCGCTGACTAAAAATAACGTTGAGGCCGATGAATTTTGAATTAAACAGCAAACATAACAATAAATATATCGGATAGCATCTATGGCGCGGCCATGTTGGCTCAGGGAGCGGTATATGTCGGTTAGGCAGGTGTAATTTACCTGTGCGCAGACGGGAGTGCGTCGTATTCGCTCAGTCACGTGACGCAGCATCCAAGCATGACGATAACAGTCTCGTATGTTCTAGCTAAATATGGCTCGCGCGTGAGAGGGAGGGAGGGAAGACAGCAAAAATAGAACGATATATAGGTAGAGGCAGCATGAGAGATAACAAGGAGAAGATAGATAGGTAGCAAAAGCAAATAAATTGTTACGTAAACAGTAATGGATAGGCAGCAAAAACAAAGATATTGCTAGGTATGTAAGTAATAGATATAGGAGTAGTTAATAAGCGTGTGGTTGAAAAACATTCAACGCAGTCTGATACATAGATATGAGAAAAAATATCACATTAACACAATTCAAGCATGGATACGGGCTTTATTCAAAAATTAAATTAATGTAAATTTTACAAAAGAATAAATATCTCATTCCTAAATAGCGTTACAAATCACTATAAGGTAGACTAACGCGGCGATTGTCAAAAAAGTCGGATGATTTACTTTTCAAAATTACTATAACATCACATTATTAACGCTCATAAATAAGAGAATTGTCATGTACATCGAGCCGAGAGATGGCGCTGTGTTGCAGTGTTCGGTACTGCAGTAGCAGACCTCGGTGACGACCCCATGGGAAGATCTCCACGTGCAGCCAGTCGGTTTTACTACCGCTACCAAGCAGTGCCTCTTTACGCCTTGTCGTCCTGTTTACATAGAGAGAGAATTTCTGGTGTAGAGAGAGGTATAAAAGTGATGAAACTCTCGTCACGACAGCGACTCGCCTACTTCACGCACGTCGTACGTTATTAATGTTATCCTTACTCATTACAAGGCTGAGACATAGGATCTCTCTCTCCCTCCCCCTCTCTGTCTGTTTGTCTGTCTGTCTGTCTGCCTGTCTGTCTGTCTGTCTGTCTGTCTGTCTGTCTGTCTGTCTGTCTGTCTGTCTGTCTGTCT